AAAAAAAAAGAAAAAAAAACTTCATGAAAGATTTTCTCAAATGGATTTATCTGTTATGGTTCAAGGTCAAAAGAGAACAGTGGGGTCTTTTTTTTTCTCTTTTTTAAAAAAAAAAAAAAAAAAAAAACATGATATAGTTAAGATAAAAATTTCAATTTTCAACAAAATTTTCTATAATTTTATCACTATTGTACAGTAACAGTGAATTTGAGTAAGAGTGCCCACGTGACAATAATTTAGACTAAAATTTTTAAATAATTCAACATTTCCTTTTTAAAATTTAAAATGGAATTAATGTATAATTTAACATCCATAGGTTACCAAGATTGTCGAATCGTTTGGTTTGTTTGACAATTATACCGGACATAATTACCATTCAGAAAGAGATCTAAAATTCTTTCTTTCATTATCATTCTATTTTATTCACTTACATTATTGTTAATTAATGATTAATTAATCTTTAACTAAACAGCGATGAATGAATTAACTGATACTTTCTTTCTTGAAGTAAAAAAAAGAAAAAAAAAAATTAGAAATTGTTGTTTTATGAATGGATTAAAACGACGAAATCTTTTCCAATAATTTATGCTTCACAACTAATTAATTGATGATCAGTTTTTAAGACAAAATATTTCAAAAAAATTCACTCAGTTTTCTACTAATAATTAACAAGTTAATTAGATAGGAGATAAGGTACTAATAATTAATAAGATAGGAAAGGAATTAGAGGAAAAGGAGAGAGAGGAGAAAGAATTTAAAATAATGCAAATTAAGTAATTTTTTAAACGAACAAAGTGAAAAAGAGTAATTATCACTTGCGTATCTTTCTTTAGCTTTCGAATTAAATTATCACAAATTGAAGAGGAATGGAATGAATGGAAAGAGAAGGTATGATGTTGATGCTAACAGAAAATAATGATAGGTTTAAATTAAACAGATAAAAAAAAGGACGTAGAATGAATAGATGATTTAAATAAAAGCAAATGAATGAAAAGTGAAAGTGAAACAAAAAAAAAAAAAAAAAAAAAAAATTAGACTGATACAATTGGAAAACAAAAATAAAATAAGTGAAAAAAAATTTACCATTTTTTTTTTTTTTTTTTTTATAATATAAAAATAATTTTAATGCGAAACTTTTTCAATAAGTAAGCAATGAAAAAATTTCAATGACAATGTATAATAATAGATTTTTTTTTCCTTTTCACTCTTTTTTTTGTGCTCTTACATCAACAAATAATTGAAATGAATAGAATAGATAGTATAGAAATTTATGTAAATTCAATTCCTTTAGTTTTCATTCATTCATTTATACAAATAACAAAAATTCATTCATTCATTTTATATATATATATATAAAATCAAAGAAAAAAGCTAATAATTCTGAAATGGTGAAAACCTCGTATTTCATATTTGATTGTTTTTACTCCTTGCTTCTAACTAGCTAACCCTTCTCCCCGCCTCTTTCTATTGTTATTTTGCGTTTTCCTACCCGTTATCTACCCGGAATTCATTCATCCTTTTTACCCGCTTCCAATCAACAATACAATGTTTTCTTCTGCACTGAATTATAATGCTTTTTGCTTTCCTTCTCACCTCTTTTCTCTCTCTCTCTCTCTCTCTTTTCAATAAATTCGTTTATAAAATTTAAATTTAATTTATGGTTGAATTTATAAAGTATCATTGATTGAAATGATTAATATGAACATATCAAATTTTGTTAAAATTAATTTTATAGATTAAACAAAAAAAGAAGAAAACTTTTTTGATATATTCACATACTACACATAAAATAATAACTTTTTAAAAGTTAAACTAAGCAAAAAGTTTATTTTATTTATGTATTTTCTGTTATACTTTTATTTGTCTATTTGTTTCATTTTATTGTTATAATTATTCATCACAATTTTGTATATTAGAAATTGTATATGTTTAGAACTTCTATAGGCTAATTAATGAGAGATATTATTTAATATCGTAATTAGTGTTATTTAATATAGACTTCATGATTAAATATTATAGAGATTAGCAATATTTGAAGTTGATAGACTATATTAAACTGTTATTGTGATAATTCTTCCAGTAATAAAAATATAAGTAATAATAGCAATAATAATAATAATATTGATAATATTAATAATAATAGTAATAATAGCGATAGCTAATGGTAGATAGCAATAATAAATCTCATTTGATATTATTATAAAATGGAATGTATTTATAACAACGAGCAGAAAATCTGATTAAGTCGTGAAGTTATAATTATAAACGCTTATAACACTTTTAGTTAATAACAGTTGAGAATGTGTGCTAACAATTTCAATTTTAATTTTTATCATTTTATCATTTCATTAGTATTTCAAATTATCCATTCTTTTATCCCTCATTTATTTAAATTTTAACATCTAACATTTACTTAACAGATTTTTCTCTTTTCTCTTTTTTTTTTTTTTTTTTTTTTTTTTGCATTTCAATTTTAGAATATTAGATTAATCACAGCAAAAAATGTCATTCCACTCATTTAATTAGGGTATGATTTCCATTATTTATTCCAGGAATGAGTGTTTATTTGAAAGCAAAGATTTTAGCAAACATAATTAAAATAAGACAGATACTTCTCAAAAAAAAATTTTTTTTTTTTCTTGAAATAAATTTAGAAATGAAAATATGTGAGTAAAATAGAATTAAATAAAAAGAAAAAATTTTGTTCTAAAATTAGGAAAATTTGATTTTTCCTAATTTTTACTAATTTATTTTTTCTAATTTTTCTAATTTTCATGAAAATCCAATGATTGCTTAATCGAAAGAAATATGAATTGTAGTAATTAATGATACAATCAGTAATCGTATCGTGAAATTTCTTTTTCTTCTTTTGCTATTTTTTTTTTCCCTTAAAAGAAATATATATTTCTGATTCGCCAGGCATTCACTCATATACAGGTTTTCATGAAAATTTATCGAAAATTAATACTTATCTATTTCATCGAATTGGCAAAAATTTGACAAATGAATGCGATATTGAATGATTCAATTTTATCTCAACCAATCAACAAAATCATTTGTAGTATCTTTTAATGCTCATTGAAAAACTATCATGTGAAATTGATTTTGAATTTTCATGTGAAATTGGTGTCAACATTGAATCTTTCCCATACATTCAAAAATTTTTTGGTTCATCTCAGCTTAGCTAATATTGAAATATTTTGAATATGAATGAAATTCTTTTTACTTATCAATGGTAAATTAAGGCGATAATTCAATCGTTTTGTAAATATTATCACCTTATCGACAAAAATTTTTGACCAATTTATGTCATTTTTAAAAATTGACAATACAAGAAATCGAAGTGAAAGAAAAAAAAATGATATACTCTTTTACCAAATTGAGTATATCAATTTTTTTTTTTTTTTTTTTTTTTTTTTTTGCCAATTTTATCAATGTTGGCAAATCCAATATTGCGGCTCACTTTTGCATTATGATAATACAAATTTGTAAAGATCCAAATTTGAATTCATTTACAGAATTTCTGCTTTACTATCATTTGATTTACGTTTTATTCGTTAGTTTTATATCAAATATTACTAAGATTGAATGTAATTTCGATATCGCTCACAAATTTCGTCTAAAGCATTTCAGTGTATTACGGAAATGACAACCATTAGGTAGTGTCAAAGCAATTGAAGCGCTGTTTTAAGAACCTTTAAGCAAGTCAATAAAATACTCTCATGTATTATTCATAAAAAAGTGGTTGTTGGGTTCAATAATCAAAAGTCCAACTACAAAGATTGAATTTAACGAATTAAAAACCATGGTTACTAGATTTTATCAAAATAGATAAACTGAAAATAGGATAATTAAATTTTAATTCATTTTCAGCTAGCACCTTGCTAATTATCCCAAATTTGTTTTTTTTTTTTCTATTTTTTTAAATTTTATTCATCAAAACAAAAATAATAATAATAACAATTTTAGCGCACAAAATATGTTAATTTTTGTCAGTGCAATTTTGCTAAAATTCTACTAACAGATACAAGTTATACCTTAAATTAGATCCCAAAAAATGTAAAAGGTGTATGTTGGAAGTTTTACACAACCAATTTAACAAATTGTTACTTGTAAAAAATGTTGAACTTATTTTACTTAACAATTGATTAACTTAATCTTGTTTCAATGCAGATCTATTATTTCTAACGCCAATTTACAAATAATATGTGTCAAAATTTTCAGATAAAATTTACTCATCATTGAAGTAATGAGTTGATTTTTTTTACTAAACAAACATAACTAAACAAAACAAAACAAAAATGGTATATTTTAAGACGTGATCCTTCAAAACCGATAATAAATACAACTGATATTCTTTTAACAAATAAGAATTTGAAAATGAAAAAGTGAAAAGAAATTGTTTACTTTTGGTTAATACATTTTCTATTTTTTCTTTACATTTTCTATTTTAAAAAATTAATACATTTCCTATTTTTTCACATTATTTATATTTCTGCAAATTATTTATCATAAAATATATTGAAAATTTGATACTTTCATTTAAAATATATAATAATAAATTTTTAATGAAACTTTATAAACATTATATACAGAAAGGAAAGAAAAATAAAACAATTTCATTCCAAAATTTAAAAATACTTTAAAAGGATTTAAATTCGTAATATACATATGTAATCAATGATTGTAGTGCATATATTGTTTAAATAGCTTTGCCGACATATATTCATTTCAGTTCATTTCAATTTATTATGTATAAAAGTTTCTGGTTGAAATTTGAGTATCAATGAAATCTTTTCTTCTTCTTCAAAAAAAGTCTGAATTAAAGAAGAAATTGACAAACAAGCATTAATGAAATGAAATTATTTAATTATCATATGCCAAAATGATAAGTGATAATTTGATGATGCTTCGAGCAGAAGAACTTAATAGCATATATATATATATACATCCAATTTAAAGCAGGCTTTTTATTTCTTCTTTTTACAAATGAAAATTCAATGGAGAAATGCTTACGACAAATGCGCAGCTCAGGATCACTGCATCGAACCTACATGATATATTACTTACGTATTTTTGCTGCTGTATTTATATTACTGTTAATTATACAATTTACATCATCTATTCGGTAAGTTGTTAATTAGTTAATATAATTAATTATATGCTATAAAAGAATTGTGTAATATTACTTTACATTAAATAACATTGTAATTAATATAATTTAAATTAATATTGTAGGTAATAAAAATAACTTGCAAGTAAACAGTCCTTTTTTTTCTCTCCTAAAATTAATTGCAAATTATAAAATTATCAATAATAATATTAGTATTATAGTATTTCATAATTTTTTAATAGTTTGCTTATCATCATAAACTATTATCATTACTTTAATTCTATTTGATTAATTTATTTTTTTGATTCAGGTCATCAAATACATTGAAAGCATCTCTAAAAGCGTCAGTACCACCTTCATTTTTTCCACAAATCATTGTAATAACGCCAACTTATCGACGATCAACAAGATTAGCTGATATGACTAGGTTTTTTCTTTTTTTAAAAATTTTAAGTAATATTTATGTAACAAAAAAAAAAATTGTGTTAAAATTTTATGTTGTAAATTATTAGAATCATATAAAATTAAGCTAAATTTTTCGAAAAAAAATTTCTTTTTTGTTTTCAATAATGAAATTTGTATCTTTGTTGACATGATTATATCACAAATAAATCTTATAAACAATTTAATATATTTTATTGTTTAGCCATAATAAAGTGATATGTTGAAATGAATCAAAGAACATTTTCAGGATGGCAAACACATTATCACATATTAAGAATTTATATTGGATTGTTATTGAAGATGGAAATAATAAAGTAAAAGCTGTTGAAAAATTGCTCAATCGTACTGCTTTACCATATATATACTTACCAGCCAAAACACCTCCAGGTTATCCACGTAAGTTACTCATAAGTTATCAATTTATCACTTATGATAATTGGCTAATGTTTGAAAAAAAATGAACAATGATATTAAAATATATATATATATATATATATATATACATGATATTATATTATTTAACTATTAATTGATAAAAAATCTATTTTTTATATCTATTGAGAAAAATATAATTAGAAGTTTTTTGGATCAATTTTAGATTATCTCTGTCTTCTTGAATGCTTATCTTTTTTTTTTCCTCTTTAAACTTTCATTGATTTCAATTTTAAGAATGAGCGAAATAAATCAGAAATCAATATTGCTATAAAAAGTCGATCATTGATCATGCAAATTTATTCCATCCTATTGTTACTTTGTTTTTTTTTTTTTTTTGGCTTTAAATTTATCTTTTAATGTCTGGAATTATAAACATTTGATAAATCTGATGAATTATTATTATGAAATCATTTGTAATTTGAGCTTTGATCTGCAAATTGTGAGAGAAAAATTATTGTAATCAAATTTCGTAAATTTTTACGTGTCACATTGAATGTCATATGTACAAAAAGGAAAAGCAAAAGAAAAAAGAAAGAAAGAAAGAAAAATAGATATTTGGACTTAGAGAAAATAATTTTTTCTACATTTTGCTGAATTAATCAAACATCGTTAATTTGCTTGCTCAAATATACAATAAAGAAAAGGCTTGTTTGATTTGAAGCATCATTTATGCCAACTTATATGATTAATCAATTCAAACTTTTGATTACTTGATTTTAAATAAGACAATAAAATTTGAAGTATTTGCTAAAAATTCACTGTAATACAGTATATTTGTCATTATTTCTACCTGTGAAAAAAGTGCAATTATCTGATCTTTGGGCAAAAATCACAATACAAATTTAAAGGTATATCTAAATTAGCTAAAAATTTAGGTCGTGGATGGTATCAACGAACTATGGCATTGCAATATTTACGCAATAATTCAAATTTAATAAGTGATAAATCAAAAAAATCAGTAGTTTATTTTGCTGACGATGATAACTCATATGATATTCGATTGTTTAATGATTATATAAGAAATGTACAAAAAGTTGGAATATGGGCTGTTGGTGAGTAATTTACAATTATTTTATTTTCATTTCGCTCATTTATTTCAATTTCAGTGCAGTTTAAATTTCAATTACTTAAAAAAATGCGTTGGAAAAAAAAAAGTTGAAAAATGATTTTGGTATAATAAAATGCTAAAAAAACAAATGAAATTGTCAATAAAATCAGTAACATTTTAAAATAGAAAAAAAAAAATAATAAAACTAAGTTTTTATATAAAATTGAGAATTAAAAATTACAAGGTCAATTTATGAAATTATAGAGCTAATAATTCAATTTAAATTTGCAAAAAGTAGTCAGGTTTTGCTGGAGGTGCATTGGTTGAATCACCAGATGTCGTTAATGGGACAGTCGTAGGATGGAATGTGGTATGGCATAAAAAAAGGAAATTTGCTACTGATATGGCTGGTTTTGCTGTAGCTTTAGATGTTGTCCTTAAGTAAGTTATAATCTTTTCTTCATTATAGATTTTAAAAAAAAAAAAATGATAATTAGTTGTAATTGATTATAAATTTTTGTATCTGTTAGTAGTTTATTAACTTTTAATTAACTTTAATCTACTAATCATGTAATAGTAAATTATAAAAATCTTGAATGTGCATTTTTCTTTTTTTGAAAAAAGAAAATTTGTTTTCTTAGTTCAACAGCAGTATTTGGTAAATCATGCAATCGCGGTCTTGGTGCACCAGAAACGTGTTTTCTTGAAGATCTCGGTTTACAGACTCATGATCTCGAACCATTTGGCTTCGATGAGGTATGCTTCATTTGAAGTATCACCTGTTAATTATTCATTCATTAATTATCATTTTAAATTCATTTTAGTAATTTGTTAATATGTGTTTATATATGCGTGTAACTTTTTAGTTGCACAATAAATAAGTTATTTATAAATGATTATTAAAAAAAAAGAAAGGGGGGTACTGGATTAATTTATTAAAATTATTCATTCAAGTAAAAATTATCTGAACAATTTATTATTTTTTATTGCTCAAAAGATAAATGATAGTTAATGAATTTAATTGAATTAAATGAGATGATAATGAGCACAAAAATATAAAAAGTGTTAGCTAATCTAATCTAATTTTCTTTTTTTTACAGTTTAAAAATGCTTCCATCATTTTTTTTTTCTAACCTTTAATTCATTCAATATTTTGAATTTCTATTTTATTTTATTTTTACCTCAAATATTCCAATAAAAATTAACTGAACAGAAAATTTGCAAAAAACAAAAGTGTTATATTTTTCAAAATGTTAATTTTGAAAAATATTAAATACACTGATTTATTTTCTATATATTTAAATTCAAATTTTTATAAATAAAATAAATTTCTATGTGTTATTAAAACTTTTAAACAGGAAGAACGTGAAATCCTGGTATGGCATACCAAAACCGCTAAAGTAATTCTCAATAAGCGAGTTGCAGATACAAATGGTTTTTTTGTGGAATAATGAAATTCAATCATTGTTATTGTTGTTACTATTGTTTCTGACACTTTTAAATGAAAAATTAAAATAAAACAAAAACTTTATATATGTCATTTTTCAAATAAATTTAGTATAAATAAAAACAAAAAAATTGATGACCTAATTTTTGTGATTTATTCCAAAAAAGTGCAATTGATATACAACACTAAAAATTTATTGATCATAATGTAGTAATAAAAAATTCAATTCACATCTTATTATTGTCAAAAAAAAAAAAAAAAAAATTTTTTTCTTCATCTTTGATTGTATTTGGTATTAATAAATGAAATGAACAAGCAATACTTGAAATGATGAATAAAAATTTCAATTCAAAATTACATTCTTTGTTCAATTTTCAATGAATTTACTATGTCACACTAATAGTAAAACTATTTATTTATCTTTTTGTTGTAGTTATCACTGAAATATTACTTATGAACACTCAAAAATGGTAAATGTTTTAAGTATGAATATTAAAATAAATTTGACAGAGATATCTCTAATTTAATTTACTTTATCTCATTTATTTTATTCATCTAATTTATTTAATTTTTGCAATTTTTTTCATAATTTATCTAATTTAGACATACAAAATCTAATTAATTCATCTCATATTATCTAATAAGCATCTAATTAATTATCTAATTTACTAATTAATTCATCTAATAGTATCTAATAAGTATCTAATTAATTTATCTGATTTACACGTGTGAAATACTTTTGATTTACACATACGATGTGATTACAGGAATTGAAATGAATGTTCAATAGCAAACCAATATGCTAAGAAGTAACAAATTATACTTGATATTATTATTTTTTTTTTTTTTTTTTTGCTTTTCTGCATGCACATTGTGACAAACATGAATGCATGATACAGCAAGCACACGTATGATACGTGATTAAGCGTAATATAAGAGTGATATAGCAAAGAAACGTGTGTGAACTTTGTGTATTAATGGAAAGCATATTTCTATATAAAATTAAAATTAAATCTAAATTAAGCTCTTATATATGATTAAAATAAGATTTTCAAAGCTTCAAATTAAAAAAAAAAAAAAAAAAACTCAAAATTTGATTAGCATTGTTTGGATGCATTTTATGGATCTAATCATTTTAAAATATGAAATGCTAATCCATTTCAAATCTACTAAATAGAATTATTTCATTTATCCAAACACTGTCCTTTTTTTTTTCTCTTTTCTTTTTTGTACCGTTTTCATTGCATTTATTTTTTTACATGCATTTTTTTTTTTTTTTTTTTTTCTTAAATAATTCTAATAAAGCTTCACTTGTACAAAAGAAATTCAAGAATGAATAGGAAAGTTACATTTTTCAAATAATATAAGCAATTTTTTTTCAAAAATATCCAACTTTATCAGTGGAACAGTCATCTTATTGGTTTAAAATAGATAACTGTTCAATTTCAAATCACATTTTAGCTTCAATTAACTGAGAAATGTTTTCTTGCTCCATTTTTTTTTTAAATTATGCTTTTTTTATCTTATTGTAATCTATGAAATGATCAATGGAATAATCAATTCAATTGAAATTTAGTTGGATAAATTTGGATGGAGAAAAAATGCAGTGAGAAAAAAAAGGAAAAAAAAGATAAAACAGAAAAGCAATGTTTTAAATTACATTAATGAAAATGAAAAGTTTAAATATCATATTAAAAAAAAGTGTAAGAAAATTAAGGAAAAACTAAAAATGTAGATGCAAAGAAATATTTAAACATTTTATAATTTGAAAAAATATTTGCAGCACTCACTGATGATTTTTTAGATATGCAAAAGAATCATTTGAATTAATAATCAATCACTTTTTTTAATAACACATTCATAATTTTATCGTTTTTTCAAAACAAATAGATAATTATAAAAAGAAGAAAAAAAAGAAATTTTCATTATGCATTAATATGGAATTAATTGATTTCCTACATAATTAAATCTAACAATAAGTATTTCATTTTATTATATTATTTTCTTGATCTGTAATAAAATATACTTTCAAAATAATTTTTTTTTTTTTTTTTTTAGATAAACCTAAAAAGAAAGAAAGAATCAATCAATCATTTGCCAAACATAGTGACAGGTTAAAAAAAAAAAAAAAAAAAAAAAAGGCCTAATAATAGCGAAAATTATCAATAACATAAACAAATAATAAATTATACAAAATAATTTTAAATGCTATCATCATTATTAAATCTTATTTTGAAAGATAATTTCAATTTTACATGCAAATTATTTATACGTTTAGCTATTAACGCAATAAATAATTGAACGGAATGATGAATGAATGAATAGTTAATTTTTTTTTTTTTTTTTTTTAAATTGAATTTTAATAAGGTTTACATAAATTTTCGAGAAAGCTAAAAAAAGTTTTATTTTTATTTTTTTTTTTTTTAAAAAAATTAGCACATAAATGAAAAAAGGAAAAGAATGATTATTTTCTATTTGCATGTATGAACAAGAACTTTCTCCGTGCATGTCTTGCATTTCACGGAGCAGCACCAAACAAACTTGCAATGACACTGCACCGTACGTATTTCCTCTTTTGTATTGTAGCCACGGCCACAGCATAACAGATCACAACTATCTGAATTAAGTGATGATTGATTACATTCTCGACCATGTGTACCAAGAATACCTGGAAAAATTACATTGTTTACAAATTTGATATGCTAAGATAAGTGTATAAATTATAATTAGAAAGTTAAATAGTACTTCAGTGATTAAAAAGTTTAACATAATAATTCTTCCAATAATATTTTTTTTTATAATTCTTATCAAATTTGCTTAAAAAAAAAAAACGAGATTTAGAGGTTGAAATTTTTTTTAATCAATAGTTCTTCTATAAATATGATTGCTTTTATTTATTTCTTTTTTTTTTACAATACTGTGCAAAAATTAAAATTTTGCAAATAATGTATTGTTATTAATTTCAAATAATTTTTTCCTAGTTATGTTTAAAATTGAAATTTTTTTTAAATAAATTAAAAAAAAAAAAGGAATTTTACCTTCAGCATCATTCCGCTCACAGTAATTCGGTGATTTGTTAATATAAGCGATCTCGTTTCCACGTAACGGTTTTTTTCTTTCTGAACGTTCTTTCCTTCGTAAACGTTTTTTTGCCCTTTTTGCTACCTTTAATTTTTTATCACTCATTGTCAACATTAATTGTAAAAATCCAATTTTTTATTCCACTAAAACAATTACATATTTATTTTAAAAAAGTGCAAATTTCTTGATAAATTTAACAACGATAATTTTGCTTTTGTTTTTTGTTTTTTGTTTTTTTGTTTTTTATGTATCCGGAATTAGTTATTGTTTGAACTAAATTACAAACTATCAAATATAGTTGCCCGGTTTACAAGTAACATTACTTTCAAAAAATTTCGAAAATCAATAGCCGATAATTTCTTCGTATTTTTGCTGAAGTGATGATATCATTATAATTTATCGCTTAGTTTTCGATAAATTTTTCTTACTTTTCAAATTACAATCAATAATTTGTCACTTTTGATCAGATTAATAATTTTGTTTACCGTTTTATTTGCTAAACAAAATATGTACTATAATTTCCTGTCTATATCTTAATTACCAAAAGTTTATTATTCTCACTAAATATATAATCACTAAAATTATTATTTTTAGAAAAAATTACAATTTTCTTCGTTTGTATTTCAATCTTTTCTTTTTCTCTTTTTCTTTTTGATTTTTTAAAGAAATTCTATTTTAAAACTTACACTGATAACAGTTCATCACTTTTACATTTGCAATTATTCACATTTTGAACATAATAATTTTGTTAACTATGAGAGAGAAAGAGAGAGAGAGAGAGAAAAAAAAAAAGTGAAACTCACAGATTGATTCATTTGATGAATTACATACAAATGAAATAATTTACTCATCAAATTTAAATATTTCAAATTATAAATGAAACAATGATACCTGAACAGCAAAATGATTGTAGCGTTGTTTTAGCATTTCACCAATTTCTGCAAACCTAGGCATTTGTAGCCAACAAGTTTTGAATTCGCATGAACCACTTACACCGTGACATCGACATTGTTTACGCATATTTTGAACAATTGCCTAAAATAATTCAAAAATTTCCGTTATTTTCTTCATTTTTAATTTATTTAATTTACATTTTAAAACTTACATAAATTAATAATTTATTAATATGTATTTTATATATGTAAAATGTAATCTAACGTACTTCACGACCAACAAAATTATTATGAAGATTCATCAGATGTCTTATATCACGATCTTTCTCATATTGTTCTCGTTCAAAACGATCCAGAAATTGCTTTGCAAAATGAACACCATATTTGGAATTATCCGAACAACCACCCCATGAGAATTTCTCACGTCCTATTGCACTTGCGTGATCCTAAATTTTTGATTTTTGTATTAGAATATATTTATCATTTTATGCATCAATAATTAAACGTTGCTGGAATTCAAAAAGGATCAAACAATTTGTAAAATTTCCATAAATTATTCTTATTCGCAAGTTTAATGCTAATTTAACTTTATCATAGAGTAATGATAAATTATCTAACAAGAATGACGAAGAAAACTTAAAATATATCAATGAATATTTGTGCACTAGAAGGTGAAATTTTTAAATTTTATATTAAAATGTGTCAAATCGTCTTTTATTGTTATTGAAAAAAAAAATCAGTTTCTAAGACAAACAATCGTATGTTATCATCGTTTTCTTTCTTTTTTTTTTTTTTTGCAATACACATATTCACGTTTTCAGTATTTTAAATATTCGAAATTCCAGAATTTCGGAAGGAAGGAAAAAAAGAAATAAACCAAATCTGTATATCGTTGTCCACCAGGTTGACTGTCACAACCGCATTCCGTTAAATTACCAGCACTGCATCCTTTTGTAATTGCATGTACAATACCAGCGCTTGCAACGGCTGAGATAAATGCCGTCTCTCTATTTCCTGTCAAGCGAAAAAA